TACGGATTTACCAGAGATAGCATCACTCCGAGGGGAAAGATAACACTGGCAGTAGAGATGGGAGAGTCTCCTCAAACTACGATAAACTTCATGGAATTCCTCGTAGTTGACAGCCGGTCGGCTTACCACGGAGTCTTGGGCAGATCGGTCCTAAAGGAATTGGGAGCAGTCACCTCCATCCACCACCTATGCATGAAATTCCCGACAGAAAATGGGGGTGGCAACGGTGAGAGACGACCAGAAAGGCTCGAAAGAGTGCTATCTAAGCTCCATTAAGAAGGTACAGCCCCAGGACGTCCACGTGATCATGGCTGATGTGATCATGGCGGATGTCCCAGGTGACGCTCCCACTGACTAGGAAGATGTTGATATGATTGACGCACCGCTTAATCAGGAGGTGTTGCTCGTTGATGAGATTGACCCCGCTTAATGGAACATGAGCCTCAAGCATCCCCTGTAGAGGAACTTGAGACCTTTTCAGCCGACCCCTGAGATCCGTCCAAGGTGTTGAAAGTAGGCAGAGGCCTATCCAACATTTTGAGAGAAAAGATTAAGGACTTTCTAGGCAAGAACCTTGATGTCTTTGCTTGGAGACATGAGGACATGGTGGGCATAGACCCCAAGATCAGCTGCCACCACTTGAAAATTGATCCTAATGTTGCCCCGCATAGACAAAAAAGGAGAGCCCTCAACCCTGAGAGGTATGAGGCCCTAAAGGAAGAGGTTCAGAAGCTCATCCAAAATGGCTTCATCAGGGAACCCACCTATCCGAGGTGGGTCTCCAACCCGGTCTTGGTTAAGAAACACAATGGCAAATGGAGGGTATGCATCGACTTTACCAACCTCAATAGAGCTTGCCCGAAAGACAGCTTTTCGCTTCCAAGGATTGACCAATTGGTGGACTCCACGGCTGGACACGAGTTGTTAAGCTTCATGGATGCATACTCCGGCTATAACCAAATCCCCATGCACCCGACCGATGAAGAGCACACCTCTTTCATCACGTACCGAGGCTTCTATTGCTATAGAATGATGCCCTTCGGGTTGAAAAATGTCGGAGCAACCTACCAAAGACTCGTAAACAAAATGTTTACCGACCTCATTGGCAAGACAATGGAAGTCTATGTGGATGACATGCTGGTGAAGAGCTTAGAAGCAGAGAACCACATAGCGCACCTCAACAACACCTTCCAAATCCTGAGAAGGTACAGGATGAGGCTCAACCCCTTGAAATGTGCCTTTGGGGTGGCTTCCAGCAAGTTCTTGGGGTACATGGTCAACCAGCGAGGAATTGAAGCAAACCCCGAGAAGATTGAGGCTCTATGCCAGATGAGGTCCCCTCAAAAGCCAAAGGAGGTGCAAAGCTTAACTGGACGAGTGGCAGCACTTAGTCGCTTCGTCTCCAAAGCAACTGATAAGTGCCTCCCATTTTTCAAAGTGGTCAAGGCTAGGAAGAAATTCCAATGGACTGAGGAATGTGAAGAGGCCTTCCAAGGACTGAAAAGGCATTTGGGGCAGGCCCCCTCCTCTCCAAGCCGAAGCCCAGCGACATCTTGCAACTATATCTTGCCGTCTCCAATGACGCCATCAGTTCGGTTCTGATTCGAGAAGAAGGGTCCACCCAACTTCCCGTCTACTATACGAGTAAAGCGCTCTTATCGTCGGAGACCCGATACCCCGATATGGAGAAGCTTGCTTTGGCCTTAATCACGGCCTCTAGGAAATTGAGACCTTACTTCCAAGCTCATACCATCCATGTACTTACAAATTTTCCCCTGAGGCAAGTACTCCAAAAGCCCGATGCCTCGGGAAGATTGTTGAAATGGGCAGTGGAACTAAGTAAATTTGACCTTATGTTCAAAGCTAGGGCAACCATCAAAGGGCAAGCCTCAGCTGACTTTGTTGCTGAATTCGCCAACCTACCCAAGGTGGATGAAATCATGGAATCCGTCGAACCCCCCACGTGGAGCCTCTTCGTCGATGGCTCAGCTGGGGAGATCGGCTCAGGTACCGGGGTTGTCCTCATCAGCCCCGAGGGTCACAAACTCACCTCGACCGTGAGGTTCGGATTCAAAGCCACCAACAATGTTGCAGAGTATGAAGCACTCCTTGCAGGCCTCAGACTGGCCAAGGAAATGCAAGTAAAGAGGCTACTCATCAGTAGTGACTCCCAGCTAGTTGTTAGTCAGGTCAATGGTAACTTCTCAGCTAAAGATAAAACGATGGCCTCCTATCTGAAAATGGTGATGAACCTCATCCCATCCTTTGAAAAGTTCGAGTTAACCCAGATTCCCCGCATCGAAAATGCTCATGCGGATGCACTCTCGAAGCTGGCTAGTAGCAAAGACTCAGAGCTACTCACTGTAGTGCCTATCGAGCACCTCCTCCTGCCTTCTACCGAGGCCCCTAATGTCATGTGGGTCGGTGGAACTCCCACCTGGATGCAACCAATCATAGCATATCTGAAAGACCAGGTGCTGCCTACCAACAAGAATGAGGCTTATAAGCTGAGGAGGAGGTCGGCCCACTTCCTCTTCATTAATGACATTCTCTACAAGAGAAGCTTCTCCTCTCTACTCTTACGATGCGTTGGAGGAGAAGAGGCTACCTACATACTAAGAGAAGTCCACGAGGAAGTGTGCGGCAACCACTCTGGAGGACTATCTCCAGCACAAAAAATACTGAGGCAAGGGTACTACTGGCCTATCCTGAAACGGGATGCCCTCGAATTCGTGCGAAAATGTGATAAATGCCAACGATTCTCTCCCATACAAAGACGACCATCACAGGATTTGACTGCAGTCTCCAGCCCCTGACCTTTCTCAAAGTGGGATGTGGACCTCATAGGCCCTCTACCTAAGGGTAGAGGAGGTGCAAGTTTTGCAATAGTGGCCATTGATTACTTCACAAAGTGGGTGAAAGCTGAACCACTGGCCAAAATCACAGAAGCAAACACCTCCAAGTTCCTATGGAAGAATATTATTTGCCGGTTTGAGATTTCCTACTCGATCATCTCAGACAATTCGATAACAAGAAGGTTAGGGAACTGTGTGAAGAGCTCGGCATAAAGAAGCACTTCTCTACACCTCACCACCCACAAACTAATGGCTAAGTTGAAGCCGTTAACAAGACCATCAAGCACGCCCTGAAAAGGAAACTTGATGTATCCAAGGGAGCTTGGGTTGATGAGCTGCCCCAAGTACTTTGGGCAATCCGAACCACCTCCAGGACCCCAACTGGGGAGACCCCTTTTCTCATGGCATATGGAACTGAGGCATTGAGCCCCGTGGAGGTTGGACTTCCATCTCCACGACGTCTGCACTTCAGCGAAGTGACCAACGACGAGCTCCGGAAGCTCGACCTCGATTTCATTGAGGAGAAAAGGGATGGCTCCCAGCTGAAGCTAGGCACCTATCAAAGAAATATGACGAGGTACTTCAACTCCAAGGTCAAGAAGAAGTCGTTCCGAATCAACGATCTTGTTCTCAGGAGGGTTTTCCTATCTTCAAAAGAACCTGGGTCTGGTTCCTTAGGCCCGAATTGGGAAGGTCCATACAAAATCAGAGAAGAAATCCGACCTGGAACCTACAGGGTTGAAGACATGGACGACAAGGCGCAACCTCGTCCATGGAACATTGAACACCTCAAAATCTATTATCAATGAATTGTACCATGCTGGATGACTTTCCCCAGCCTTTGTAATATTTCTATGGGTCAATAAAATGCATTGATTAAATCCACCATGTCTGGGATGCGTCGTCACCTCGGAGGAGAGGCTCGGGACCCACCTCTGGGCCACCTTGCTTGAACTCCGAGGCGCTTGCACATGCCTCCCTTTGGCCTTACTGAACGCCAAGGGGAGAAGCCTCAACATGGCTGCACCATCCACCATGTCTGGGATGCGTCGTCACCTCGAAAGAGAGGCTCGGGACCCCCCTCTGGGCCACCCCGCTTGAACTTCGAGGCGCTAGCACATGGCTCCCTTTGGCCTTGCTGAACGCCAAGGGGAGAAGCATCAACATGGCTACACCATCCACCATGTCTGGGATGCGTCGTCACCTCGGAGGAGAGGCTCGGGACCCACCTCTGGGCCACCCCGCTTGAACTTCGAGGCGCTAGCACATGCCTCCCTTTGGCCTTACTGAACGCCAAGGGGAGAAGCCACAACCGCTACAGTCCGAGGCTCACACAGTTCACCTCTTTAAGTCATGTTAATGTGCTTAAGTCTGAGGTTCACACTGGTCATCTCCTTAAGTCATGTTAATTTGCTTAAGTCCGAGGCTCACACAGTTCATCTCCTTAAGTTATGTTAATGTGCTTAAGTTCGAGGTTCACACTGTTCATCTCCTTAAGTCATGTTAATGTGCTTAAGTCCGAGATTCACACAGTTCATCTCCTTAAGTTATGTTAATGTGCTTAAGTCCGAGGTTCACACAGTTCATCTCCTTAAGTTACGTTAATGTGCTTAAGTACGAGGTTCGCACAGTTCAGTCACTCAAGTTATGTTCATTTATTTCAGTCCGAGGCTCACAAAGTTATTTAGTTCATGCTTCTATCAAGTTCCAATTCATTTGTTTAACGAGGTATAAGACAAAAAGCAACAATGAACGAAGAAAGACATTATATTGATATTTCAAAGAAGGTTACAAAGGAGGGCCTCTGGCCATTACATCCAAATTACTGAAAAGTAAAACCTAGTCTATGCCTGGCTAGATGACGGAGGCGCCTCAGCACTTGGGGCTTCGGCATCAACTTCTTCATCACCCCGAACCTCCTCAGCTGGGGTCTGAGGTACCTCATCCACAAATTCGGACCTAAGTTGAGCCAGGTCCAAATTGGGATACAGTTCCTCTGCCCGCTCCAGCACTTCGGCATAGGCGAAGTTCCTCCAGTACGAACTGAAGCTCTTGTATTCCTCTGTAGTGTGGAAATTGGCGATGTATTCTTTCACCGCCTCTTCCCTTGCAGTTCGGGCCTCTTCTCTGGCAACGGAGGCGTCGTTCATGTACCACTTCGCCTGGCCTTCGAGAAACTGATAAGCATCTCGAGCACCGGCCAAGGAGAGATTCGCCTTCTCAAGAGCCTCAGCAGTCACCTTTTGGTGCTCATTGGAGACATCCACCTTCTTTGTCAAGGAGGCCACCTCGCACTGTGACTCATGCACTTCCTTCTTTAAGGCCTCAATATGGGCCAGAGCAGACTCGAGCTTCGCCGCCTCTTCAACTTTCTGGACCTTGGCTTCTTTGGCCTCGGCCTTAGCAGCTTTCACCTCCTCTGCAAGGGAGGTAGCCTTTCCCCTCCGAGGCTTGGGTCCTTGCCTGAAATTCTCTCAAGGCCTCCCTGCATTCGAGCGCGAGGCCAAAGGTCCAGACGCTCTGGCTCGCCAGTGCCCTTATCAAGTCATGGCATCGCAAGATGAGGCATGCAGCTGCCACCTCTCTGTCCAGAACTTGTAAAAGCTCTTGGTGGCACTTCTGATTTCTTCAGGGAGAGCCTCCACCAAGGCTGGGGCCAGCTCCTCCTCCCTCCAGGCTAGGAAGCTCGGAGACTTCCCCTTCTCCCGAATCGGCTTCTCCTCTACTGCTTCCTCCTCGGCAGCTTCTGCAGCTCGCCTTGCGGCCTCTGCTCTAGCCTCTTCAGCCTCTACCTCTCTAACCATCTCCATTTTGATGGCTTTGGAGGCTGCAGCAAGAAGCTTCGGCTCGCCAATCTGTTCAGCCCTATGGGACACTGAGGTCCCAAACTTTCCAGCTGAGCTGGAGATGTACACCAGCTTCCTCTTCTTAGTCTCCTCGAGGACTTTCTCCTTGCCCCGAGGCTCCTTCGGCTTCTCTGGCCTCTGAGGAGTTGCCTCCTCCGAAGCCCTGGGAGTACAGTCCTTGGACAGGCGCTCAACCTTGCCTCGGACTTCCTTTGCCCCGCTGGACCCAGGCTTTAGGGGCCTCGCCTTCGCAGTAGACGTGGCCTTCAAGATAGAAGCCATGTCTGGAGCTGGGTACTCCCTCTTCTTGAATTTATCTGCACAACAGGTCAGATCATCACCAGTATAAAAACAACGGATAGGAAAAATTTAAGTATTGGGGCTTCGTACCTCTGGATGCCATCAGTTCGAAGTCCAGAAAGTATCTACTCCTATCGATCAGGTGATCGAAGTGGCGAAGCTTCAGAGGCCTCTTGTAAATGTCCTCTATCACCTCGAATTCCTCCCTGCTGAGCTCGAACCTCGTACTACTATCTGCAAAGGAACCCCCAATAGTTAGAAGAATTCATATTCTGACTTCAAAAGACAAGCAGAGGTCGGGAGACTTACGAGCTTCGTAGTACTGGGTCGGCACTGTGCATGACAGGGCTTTGTCCCTCTCCACTGCCTGCCATTTAACTCGCACCCAGAACCAGGACTCTTTCCACCCCTTGATAGAGGAAGGAAGTCCTACCACAAAGGGTGCATGAGCCCCTCAAGGCGTGAGGTAGTACCACCCCCCTGACTCCTTCCCAATCACCCAGGGCTGGAACAGGGTCATGAACACATGAAGAGGCATGTCCTCCCCAAGTGACACTT